TAGAAGAAACCTGTTTATAATTATCTTCTGCCCTACAACCCCTTTCTTCACAGACGAAAAGTCACAAGCTTCTTGCTGCTCTGTTGCTATTTCCATGGAAAGTGTTGAAGCAAAAAAATACATTCATTATTTCCACGAATTCTAAACTTCACACCTAAGAAAGATAACACATGCCATACACAGTATAGTGAACCACCCTTATCCCCACTATCCCAAACTATTTGTGGAACCAACTCCCAAGAGTATGTGTTCCTGATTATGACAGGTTTAACCAGGTAAAGTCTGGGGTCAATTATTATCTTCTCCACATATCCCCATAAACTGTACCTTCTAATCTTTAATCCTCTAACTAAAGTGGCTTTTGGGGCATGTACAGGGTAAAAATCATTAAAAAAAAAAAAAAAAAAAAAAAACAAGTGTTAAATTGATACCTGACTTTTACAGAGTTATCTGTACCTAATTTTCATTTACAAAAATACTTTGAAAATTTTTTTACATCATTGATATCTATTTTTCATATTTTTCTTAAATTTTTCTTCTTAAATTAAAAATGTGCCACTGATAAATATGTATACATTTATTTATTCTTTAATGATAAAAATTCTGTTTGGGAAAAAAAAAAAAACTTTCGCATAACAATTGAGCATTCAAAATATTTTCTTAAAATAAAATATATTTCTAAAGAAGTAATGAATTTTTTATTTATTAATCTGACAGATTTTTATTCACGACAAAGCATTTAAGTGATAAAAATCTGTTGGATCAATAAATAAAAAATCCAGCACTTCTTTAAAAATTGATTTATTTGTATTTGGATACAAAACTAAACAGATTTGAAATTCTCAAGAATCTATGTATGACAAGAAGTATTTTGCTTAAACACATTGCTCAATCTTGTTTGATCAGCAATGTCCTTCATAGCTGAGTCAGTATAATCACATCGGATCTAATGGCAGTTTCTCTAGCCAAGTGGGGATGCAGGTTCAAATCCTGCCAAAGGGCAAATATTTTTTTTTAATAAGATTTCTCGAATAATCAGGCAAATAGAGAAAAATAAATATACTGTTTAAAAATAAAAAAAACTGAGACCTAAACTCAAATATGGGTATCTGCTAAAATTAAATATATTGTGAAAGCATTATTAATAAAAAAGAAAAAGCCAACACTTAATAACATCAATTATGAACATGGCCACAATGCTTTGACCATGTTTGGAAAAAAAAAAGATTCCTACAACTATAGGTACATACATAAAAAAATCCATACATTCAGTTAAAAATAAATATAAAATCATCCTTGATAGTGGCTAAGATAGCCAAAAGTGCTTGGACATATAAAACATTATAAGAACACAAGAGGGAAATTAACAGGAGATAACTGATAATTGACATCCATTAAAAATGGCACGTGGAACTAGAACAGTCTACCCCAGTGAGTGAAATAAAGGGTTCAGTTTGACATTCCAACCACCTGAAGAAGGCCAGAGCATACAACAGCCAAAACATTGTAATAAATATGGCGACAAAGAGGAGGGCAATAGTCTGAATAATGTAAATAATGTACACAATACCTCATTCTCAGAAATATTGACAGATACTGAAGAAAAATTAAATTAAAAAAAAACTTAACTGCAGTACTGTCAGTCATTTTCTTTTCTTTTTTAACAAAACTTGCCCAAATACACAATTATATATATATGTATATATAAATAAAAAGAAGGAACAGTAAGATATATAATCCGGTGTTCTTATAGATATTTTTATTTTTACAAAATAGTGCTCAATGTAAATTTACAGAGCATTAATATTATAAATTAATTGATTTAAAATGTTTTTTTTCGCTAACCATGTTTCAAAAATGGAAGCTAAAAGCCCCGAATTTAATTTTGTAATTAAATTAAAGACATTAGTTCCATTTCATCCTCAAGCGAATTCGCTTCCATTTTTGAAACATGGTTAGAACTGTGTAGCGAAAATAAACCATATTTTAAACCAGTTAATTTATAATATTAATGCTCTGTAAATTTACATTGAGCACTTATATATATATATATATATATATATATATATATATATATATATATGTAAAATGAAGAAGGCTCCATGTCTGCTTCTCAAAATATATAGATTTAATAGGCCGGTTAATAAAATTTGAGGACTAAAAAGCCAACAAAATATTGGCAATAAGATTTATGATATTTATTATAGATAAACCTTTTGACTAAATTGAAGCACAAAGAGAAAGATTTTAAAGTTGGAATTTTTGGACACACCTGTGTCTATTATCAGTGAGATGGGGAATAAACAAAGAAGCACTCTGTTGTAGTCATTTTAGAATTTTAATAATCAAAAACTTCAAATTATCAAAGACTTCTATATATGTTCAAACAACCAAGCAACACTCAACAAAATTTTTACAAATGTTTGCAACAACATATTAAAGTCTTTGATAATTTTATTTTGATTATTAAACTAAATGCCAAATTTGCATTTCTACCAAGTCCTGGCCAGCTTCCTTACATTGAAACGCTTGTGTTGTAAAAAAATTCCATGACTACAACAGAGAAATTTAAAAATTCTAAAATAATTACAAGTAGTAGACTGGCATCCATGGATTCCAGTGGCTGCATAAATATATATATATATATATATATATATATATACTAGATTAGACTAGATTTAGTTTATTGCTCTACTTAGCGTATTGAGCACTCTACGTTTAGTCTTTCTACTTGTTTGCGGATTTTTCTTTGGACTTGTAGCTTAAGCACTTGATGATTGGTTTCATACTGTGTTAATGTTTTTGGTTCTTCCTCGGTACCCGATTTGTTCTATTACAAGTTGAGCTACCCGAGGTTTCCAAATGAGTATTACCATTTATATAATATATATATATATATATATATATATATATATATATATATATATATATATATATAGTATTAAAAACAACAAACAACAATATTTTAGCAATTATTTGTTTGTCTCTTCCAACGCTTCAGGATTTGGTTGCTAAGCTCAATAAGATGGTATACATTAAATATATATATATATATATATATATATATATATATGATAAAATATAGTTTCAAGGTATGCTATATTTATGTGTTAAAGTGCTCAATATCAGGGATAGAGTGTATGTAAATATAAAAGTGAACACTGAAGTCAACATGGCCTGACAATTGCATTTAACATGAAACAGACTGTTGCCTCTGGATGTTGACTTCAATGTCCACTTTGTGTTCGTGTGTGTGTGCATGAGTTGAAGCTGTTTTCTCTCAATCTCTGACGAAGCTTTAATAAAAGTGAAACAGGTTCAAACTGATAAATATTTCCTATCTGTTCTTTACCACACACATATATATATATATATATATATATATATATATATATATATTGTGTGTTAAAGTTTACATACTCATATAAATAAGTGTCCAACTATGGAATCCCATACGTGAAATATATTCGTATTATACATCCAAATAGACACTCTCTACACATATAGATCAATACTTGACAATATATGAATAGACATTCACACTGAAATATTACTTCAAGAAATCTGATCTAAATGATCCAACATCAGAAAATCTTTTGCCAATTACCAGACACAAAATATTAATCCCAGTCCAATTTAGGTAAGAAGATAAACTGGTAAATGTCCACTGTGAAACAACTGGTGGCAAAGTCCCAATATTGCCCATTTACATTAGACTTATGGACATATAAAATAAAAACATACATATATACACACACACACATAAAGCCTATATTTACTTATGATCATCTATGAATACACACACATTCATATATATATGTGTGTGTGTGTGTGTAGATAGATAAAGTAGAAGCATATATTTTATTTATGGTCATATACACACTCCTAAAAGCCTAGATTTATTTATGGTAAAAAGTAAAAACATTAGACTTAGAGGCAACTCATAACTACACAAAAAACAAAACAAAAAAGAAATAATAATTATTATCTTCATAATAATAATGGTCTATTTCTATAGTTTGTTCGTTGTTAATGCTGTTTTTTGCTAAATAGCTGTGAATTCTTCGCGTGTTTCCATGACGTCACACACATTTCATCACGGACCACAGTATTTAACTTGCACCCCTAAATGATCGGAAATGCAAGAGATGAACTCTAGTAAAAGATTAAAAAGAAAAAAGAAAAAAGGGACTATATCTCTTTCGCACATAATTCCCAAACGATTGTAACGAGGAGCAGGGAACTACCAATCAATTTGTCATCAACATGAAAGAATTCGATCAGGTGATTTCGTAATCACAAGAAAAAGTAAAAACACGGAAAAATGCGTCGCGCGCGCGCACACACACACAAATGTGTGTGTGTGTATGTGTGTGTGTGTATTTATTTCAAATCAGATTGATTACTTACTTGAAATCAGCTAATATTCCTCAAATAAAGTTTCAGAAAAAAAATGTGTATTTTATTTTTGGAAGATTTTTTTTTTTAATAAAGAAACATTGCGATGACAGATAGCTAAAAAAAAAAAAAAAAACAAAACAAAAAAAAACACTAATCAGCTATTTTAGCCCCCCCAAGAATCAATAGAATTTATGTTTGTTTGAAATACACTACACAGTATTTTGCTTACTGGAAATTAAATTAAAGCTAAAAAGGAAAAGCTTCAAGAAAGATTTTTCATTTATGAAAATTCTTTAAACCTTAGGAATAATACCGAATTAGTGGAGGTGTGTGTGTGTGTGTGTGTATATATATATATATATATATATATATAGTGGAGGTACCAATACACAGTGGAGATAGTTACCGCCACTAATTCGGTATTCCTAAGGTTTTAATTTCCATAAATTAAGAAATCAAAATCTTGAAGCTTTCATTTTTTTTTCATTCATAAGTTGCTAGAAATGCCAAAAAGGACGCAACAAAGAGAACAGACAAGACAATAAAGACATCTCATTAATTACATAAAAAATAAAATAAAAAAATAACGTGTCACTTACATAAAATTTCCATCGCTTGTAAAATCAACGAAATCCATGAGAGAATGGATCTCTCTTTTAGTGTGGTGGCATTTGCATCAAGGGCACTTCAAACAGGTAAATAAGGCAGTATATACCACGAAATATACAAATAAAAAAGGGAAGATCTAAGCAACTGCTAGTTGAGAACAGTTAAATTAAAAATCCGTTCTTATAAAGCAGAAAGAGAGGTTACAACTTTGATAGAACCAGGGAACGAGAAAGTAAAAAAGCGGGTCGTTTTTCCAACAAGAAGAGCGTTTTTTTTGTTGTTGTTGTTTTGTGTGTGTTTAGACGTAAACAGAAGCTTTTGTCATACGGCAGCTGATGAAGTCTCTAATGAGAGAGATATCTCCCGGACCAGCATGTTGGTATACTGTTTTGGTCCAACGTTAGTGGTTTTGCTTGGATGGTCACATGGTTAGCTATTTATTTTCTGTCTTTTTTTTTTTTTTTTTTTCTTCCTTAAATAAAAACAAACCATTGCTTGAGTGAAAGGCAGAAGAATCGTCTCGTTTCACGAAGACAAACGAGCCGATCAAAGATTTAAAAGAAAAAAATGAAAAAGAATAGGGAGGCACATTGGTTAGGTTTTTAGGTGAGGTGTGTGCAGACTGCTAAATACACGTTTCTTCATTCTTTCTATCTTTTTCCTTCCACAAGAAGTTCTTTCTCTCTCTCTCTCTCTCTCTCTCTCTCTCTAGACACACAATCACGAGTAGCAGTGTTCATTTTATCCCCACCCTCCCAACAATGATCGATTTACAAGTACGAGGAATCCACACCATGACTTACGGAAACTTGAAACTCGGTCGATTCTAAACGTGAGCTCTCTCTGCCATACCAAATACCACCGTCCCCGGTCTTTGCCGTGTAGACATCAGGAGACACTCCTGAGTTTTTACCAGAAAACGAACCCTGGACACCGAAGACCGTTTTGTTTTGACTTTCAAAATGAGTTTTGATTTTTTGCAAATTAAGGATTTAATTTTTCATTTAACCTTTTTCGGGGGAGTATACGTGTGGGTGTGGACCATACAGTACACCATTTGACTTAACTCTGAAAATAATATAATTATAAAAAAAAAAATTTCGTAAGTGTATAAATATTAAATTAATATTCATACAATTCAATTGATAATTAATTTACCAACGCCCCCCTCTTTCACCCTCCTCCAGAAAATAAGTGATAACAGCTCTCCTCACTTTTCCCATTAATTATCTGTAAGTAAAATGTGTTGTTAGAGAAACAACTTGAATTTGTTTCCCGTTACTAAGACTTTCTCCTAAACTGGTTGCAAACCAAGGCTTAGAGAACCCACTGAGTCTTCCTTGCTAGTTAATAGGTTGAGATGGGAGGGAGATTCTTGCTTTTCCAAGGAGATTTGTAAGTGAAGACAAACTTCTTCTAAATGGAACTTGAACTTAACGTTGATTCCATTTTCGACAATGGCGGACTGAATATAAAAATATTGGTTTCCAGAAGACAAACGGGGTCCACCCACAACTACAATGCTATCATTTAGTTTTCATAACGAATGAATAGGTTTTTTTTTTAAATGGGGGGGGCGCCGACTCTTCTCAGTTAAACGTTTTTTACGTTAATACAACGATTTTTAGTTTTATTTATTTACTAAGGTTTCAGTCAGTTTGGCACAAGGCCACGAGCTATTTATATTTAACCAGCTTTCGTAATCACTCGCCCATTTCATGTAATTAATCAATTCCGACACTGCTTAATTAACTTCACTAATAATTAAAAAAACTGTGCTTTAATATTTAATAAGTTTCATTGAACTCGCACAAGGCCACAAACTCCTTACATTATGATTAAAACCTGATTATTATTATTATTTACCTGGGCCCAAACATCAACCACTGGTTCCAGCCACCACACATTACTTAGGGGGTTTGGAAAGTAATTACGCTTTCTTTACCAGTGGCGGGTTGGCTCTCTAAAAATATTGGTTGTCTGGAGACAAAGGGGACCCACCCACAACAACAATGCTATCATTTAATATTCATAACGAAAAAGTAAAATTTAAAAAAAAACGCATGTGGAAAAGGGGTTACAAATAATTTTTTGTAGAAAAAATGTGTATTTCTTAGTAATTTGTACATACTCACTCATTGGCAGTAGATCCCAAAATGGAAATACAGCAATGTTATAATAATTGAATTTTTAATTTTATTTTTTTAAGTAATTGATTGGTATTTTAAAATAGTTTACAGCTCAATTTACACATTAACAGACAGTTCAAAAGCAGAACATTGCATAGAGTCCGCCATATTAAGAAGAGCAATCGTTTGTGTTCACAGTTAACTGCCAATAACTGTTTCTGCATCCAATTCATCTAACAATTCCTTTTTTTTTTTTCAATGGATAACAACATGTATGATCCCAACTTCTCCTCAGCGATTTTCTTAACTTTGTCTTTATGATCTTAGCTTTGAAAATGTCCTCTCATATTGGCCTTGGGGCTTTGAGTTACTGATAGTGTGCAGTGCAGATGACTTTATAATGTTATTCCTATTTATTACTAAAACAGTTGATCATGTTTAATTTATTCCTTTATTAGTGGACCCACTCGCCATCGGGCAAGCTGACACCCTGCCTAGCCAGCCACTGATTCGCCACCTCCTTCGTTTATAGTTCTTCAATAATATATGTAAAAATTTGCTGATAGTGGAGAGAACGATTCTTAGGACTTACAATTTGAATTTCACGTTACTTGCTACCTCGAATCAATGGTCAATTAGTGAAAAGTGTGTGGCTGACTTCAAAAATACGTCTCCCTTTCAGGAACCAAATACGCTGTGGTTGGTTAGGATGGTTACGGGTGGGGGCAAACAAGCAAGACAAAGTCACTTTGGGAGGGACTTCTGAGATGCGATAGTGATCATCCCATTTTCAACCCTTCAGAATGGCGACTTTGCGTTTCAAATAAAATAAGACAAAGGGAAAAAAAAAAGAACAAAAAAATTTTTTTTTCCTTAATTTTTCTGCCTTTTTTTTTTTTTTTTTTTTTTCGAGCAAATAAAAAGTCTCACTAGTTGCCAATAACCAAAAGTGAACCAGATTACATATGATATGCGTATATGACGAAACTTTTTAGATTTACAAATTAACCTAACTGGTCTGAAATTTAAAATTTGTTTTCGGAATAAAAAGAAAAAGGAGAGATTGGAAGTTGGATTAAAAACAGACATGTTTGAAAAAAATGAAGAATAAAATAAACTTGAATAAATAAATGGGTAGATTATTTGAAAAAATCCAAATTTAAATAGCTATCCAGGTCCTTGATGCGAGAGTACTTGTTGCTTTCTCAGCGGTTTTGAATTCAAAAGTTCTAGGCCACTGGTTCTCAAATGGGGTCCATGTAAAATTACTGGTGTCCACACAAAAATTAGCAAATCGGAGGTGGGGGCATAGTAATATTTTAGTGGTTCATAGAGCAATTTCACTTCAGAACGGTTGTTATAACTGAGAATTGGAATTACTACAGTAATTTACACCATACTAAAAAAAAAAAAAAAATATAGTAAAAGGACTCTAAAACTCTAGCAGAAAACGAGATCAAAGATTTTTTTGAAAAAGTAGGAATAAAAACTGAGAAAGATAGTGTAATGTACAATGATATAAATGTTCCATGGAATTTAGTTGTGAAATATGTTTTTCTTTTCATTAAAATAGTAATTAGTTTTACTTCAAAACCTGTACATTTACTATTTCTATAATCAGTCAGTTATGTGCCATGCGTGATACACGCTTAGGCGATCATGTATCTTTCGATACATGACTGACGAGGCAGATCTTTTCCCGAAGTAGGTTGCCATTTCTTTCTGCGGTAGACCAGTGGCCATCCAAGGCTATAGAAGCCAGTCTGTTCTGCTATTTAACCATAGCTGGGTGGGGGGAGAAGAAGAAGATTCATACCTTTCCCAAGGGTATTAGCACGTAAGTGAATGTAATGGATCTGACTGGAATTCGAACTCGGTTTTCCGATTCCTCAATCCATTATTCTTAATTTCAGCAGTTCAGACCTTTCATACAAGTCAGTCAGTCAGTTATTTGATATGCATGATACACGCTTAGGCGATCATGTATCTCTCGATACATGACTGACGAGGCAGATCTTTTCCCAAAGTAGGTTGCCATTTTTTTCTGCGGTAGACCAGTTGCCATCCCAGGCTATAGAACTGTCCTGCTATTTCCCCATAGCTAGGGGGAGAAGAAGAAGATTCATACCTTTCCCAAGGGTATTAGCACGTAAGTGAATGTAAAGGATCTGACTGGAATTCCAACTCGGCTCTCCGATTCCTCAATCCATTACTCTTAATTTCAGCAGTTCAGACCTTTCATACGTCAGTCAGTCAGTTATTTGACATGCATGATACACGCTTAGGCGATCATGTATCTTTCGGTACATGACTGACGAGGCAGATCTTTTCCCGAAGTAGGTTGCCATTCTGACTCCTCAATCCGAGCCGCTATCCATTTGGGAACCACTGTTCTCGATTGACCGACAAACTCTCGCAATCATTTTTTTTTTAATCATTTCACACAAGCAAGGCGATAAAAGTGTAGAGTAAGCGGAAGGTTGAACAACATCAAGTCAAAGGAGAAAATGACAAAATTAAGGGCTTCACGTCGCCTTCCAGGTTTCAAACAATACTTCAACATTTTCAATTTAAATAGCGAATAAAATCAGTTCCTTGCCAGCAAATAAACATAGGACTCTGGAGCAAGACCACAAAACCAAAAATTGATTCACCTCGGGAGAAGAACTGACAGCAGCAAAGAAATACAAGGTAACCTCAGCGTCTTGTCTTTCTCATCAAAGCAACAGCGGGACTCTCTGATCTTGTCTGCCAACCCCACTTTCTTTCTATTCCTCACTAAAAGACTATTCATGTTCATTTTATTACAAAGACAACACTTTCTAGCTTTCATTTCATAAGTAATTACAGTTAAAATTTGTGTATCTGATGTTTTTAACAGATCGCGACAGCTATTAGGGAGATGTGATTAAATATCGGAGAGCCGAGTTCGAATTCCAGTCGAATCCATTATATTCACTTACGTGCTAATACACTTAGGAAAGTATGAATCCTTTTCTTCTCCCTCCAGCTATGGGTAAATAGCAGGACAGACCGAGTTCTATAGCCTTGGATGGCAACTGCAGACAGAAATGGCAACCTACTGTGGGAAAAAATCTGCTTCGTCAGTCATGTATCGAAAGATATATGATCGCTTCATCGTGTATCACGCATGGCACATAACTGACTGATTAATTATATATTTTATGTTTAAAAAAAATATTCAGTATTATTATTGTGTCGGTAATAAGCATTATACAGTGTGACCCGGATATAAGAGAGGTTATCTCTGGTCCCAAATTAGAGCCTGTGTTAATATATATAAAATAGACCAAACCCGGATATAAGAGACTTCTTCTCCGGTCCCGACAACTCTCTTATATCCGGGTTACACTGTAACATAGCACAAATAGCTATATTGTGGAAAAAGGACATTTTCGACAATATACGCATTTTTTTACGTATTTATAGTTATTTTTTTTAACTTTTATCAAAAACGACATTCTTCTACACGTAGTTATGGATAATATTAGACATTACTCATTTTTTTAATTAATAAATATTTGTGCTCAGTTGTTGACGTTAATAGCTATCTGCTGATGTGTTATAATTTTGGAATAATGCAATAATAAAAAATTTAAATTTCATCTTTCTTAGTTGATGTGATCTGTAAATTAACATTACTTTATTTGAAAATGTAACAATCTTTTCTCTCATTTTTTTTTTTATTCAAATGGTGATCCAAGGAATCTTTCCCTAACAAAAACAAGCAAGGGGTTACTGAGAATGAAAGAAATAAAGTACAGAGATGACAACAAGAGAACAGGGTTCAAGGTTAAGAACAGAAGATGACGATTGGCATTTCATTTCAATTTTTGAACATCGTTGTTAACGGGAAAGCCAAAAGAGAGTTCCACAAGCGAGAAGTGCGGGAGAAGAAACTATGAGAATAGAACTTACGGTTACAACTAGCAATTTCAACAGTGAAATTATGAGACCTAGCTGCCAATCTAGTACTAAGCTTGAATTCGCATAGTCGAGATACCAAAGAAAAAAGCCCACCAGAACAATTGTCATGAAAATATTCATAGAAAAGGCACAGAAAAGCGATGTTACGGCAGTTGGCAAATGGTTGAAGATGTCCGTCACAATCAATAACATAGTAGATTTTTGGGTTTTGTTAAGAATCTCTAGATGTATAGCCCGGAGTCAGATGTGACAGCAATAATAGATGTCCAGATGAACGGTAGACTTATGAAGTTTCTTCTTTCGATTTTAAATCGAGCACCAATATGTGGCAGCGATATTCAAAGCATGGATAAATGGTAGACGTAAATATGCAAGATGGATTCCGGAGAGAAAAATTGTCTGGCACGACACAGTGAGCCGATTTTATAACAGCGGACCTAGCAATTGAACCAATATAATCTTTCTATCTGATGTCAGTAGAAAACATGAGATGAAGAAAGAGCAAAGAGTTGCTTTATTGGAGGTCAGCATCAGCCATGCTGACGTAAAAAAAAAAGTTCTTTAAGATGAGTAATAGAAAGCGGTTTCGTTTTCGAGATGTCTACCCTTCTATTTAATCGCTAACTGGAAGCGAGAGGGAGAAGAGATGGCAAAGTGAATGTAAAAGACTTGATCAGAATTTGAACTCGGTTCTCTGATTTCACAATTGGTGCTGATAGCCATCATGCTACACGCACATCCTCATTTAGAGTACCTAAATGTTTAAATGTCTAAAAGTGCATGGGAACAAGCAAATGTTTATATTGGGTGTTGCCTTGGGTGTGAATTTCCGCCATTTCAGTCCGTCAGATTTCAAGATGGCGGGATTAATTATTTTGGCAATAACTTGTCACATAATTACATTTTCATTTACAGACATGACCATCTCATACGAGTGAGTTCGATCCTTACTGAGAAATCGAACTCATGATTTGTCTTTTTTACGGTTTATCAACCCTTTACAGGATATTGAAAGCCAGAAAATATTTTTAGATTGTAATATTTTTTGGGAGACAATAATAATTTGCTGATACAAGTTCTACTAATTAGACGATAGTTGGGAGAGAAAAGGTGGACTCATATTTTTCCAGTGGTATTTGAGTGTAAGTGAATATATCAAACCCGACTGGAATTGGAACTTGGCTCTCCGATTTCCAATTCGAAGCTATTATCTATTACACCCCACGCACATCCAAGCTTACAGCACCTGGTATTCCTCATGGTCACCCATCTAGGTACTGACTAGGCTCAACGTTGCTTAACTTCGATGATCTTGCAAGGATCGGTGTTTCGTCGTAATATGGCCAAAAGCCTGGAAAGTTTGAATTTCATCCAAGACAATTTATACTCACTTTGCACCAGTAACACTGAAAAAGGCATAAATCTACTTTCCCTTGCATTCTGTCCTCTGGACAGCTATCTTGACAAAATGTCCTGTTACTGACATGCCACAATTTTTGACAGAGAAAAAAGTAAGCGAGCATTTGAACAAAATCCGCTGTCCTGTAAGTAGACTTCTTTTTTTTAAAACATTCAGTGTCCAGGCAGTAGCAGCAAAAATATATCACTCCCCATGCCCATTTGTCAAACGTGACTTGAGTTGTTCAGATTTTATAAGTACGCAATTGCATTTTTGTCATCGTTTGAAATTTCGTTAAGATATCTCATAACTAATGAGTGTCACGTGTCCGTTTTATTTTTCATACTAAAATTCATTGAGTGTCCCTCAAGGTTATTGTTAAAATGGTTATTATAAATAAATGAAATGTAATATGAGTGAAGGTAAGAAATGAGAATATAAGGTTAAGAAGGAAGATGAATAACGATTGACCCTTGGTTTGAAGAAGTTAAGATTGTAGTGTTCGGGGAAGTATCCACGCGGGAATCTGTTTTACAGAGTAGCATTTAAAAAAAAAAAAAAAAAAAAAAAAAAAAAAAAAAAAAAAAAAGAGAGAAGCCGAATGGAATTTTCTCCCGACATTTGATACACAGGGGAAATAAGGACGATTCAACTCCGTATAAGAAGCCCAGCAAGTCTGAGATGTAAAAGTATAATAAGCTGCGGAAAAAAAAAAAAAAAAAAAAAAAAAAAATGGAGCGCTTATCTGAACATTTGCCATGGAAATAGCGACAGAGTAACGACAGGGTTGCAGCATTGTGTTAGTGGCTGAGATGCTGCAGAGCTGAGAATAAGTTCCCCCACAAAAAAAAAAAAAAAACTGCGTTAAACAGTACAAGATTTATCATCGATATGGAGACCTTTAAACCTAGACTGAACCACTGAGCTACACTGCAAGTTTCGCGTAATAAACGCACGTAAGAAATAGTGCCTTTCTTTTTTCTTTTCTTTTTCGTCTTTCCTTATTACTTTCCTGTCATAGATTCAAAGATAAGCTAATTAATGCTTTCTCTGATACAAATGCGAGATTTCGTTTTCTGGCACATGCGTTTTTCTACTACTACTACTACTACTGCTGTTGTTGTTGTTGTTACTCCCACATCTTCACTCTGTCCTAGCTAAATACGTGTTATTATTGTTATGTTCACATTTGAAAGAAACCGACTTTGGCAACCGCCTGTAAGGACACCTGGAGGGAAAAACAGGCTTGGAGCCTAAAAGGATGCAACGAAAGAATTACGTGTTTTGTTTGTTTTCTTCACCCCACCCCTCACGATTTCAGGTCAAAGAGACTGAGAGGGAGAGAAAAAGAAAGTCAAAGAACAGAGAGAAACTTCTCTTGTCCTTGGTGGCGTGGCATTTCAGCCACATCATTCTACACCGCCCCCACCCCCACCGGTGAAAATAGAGATTTTTACCTGGTGTCACATTTCAAACGACTTCAACTATACAGTAGATTATCAGGTAGCAAATTACTTTATAGATTTCCACACATACATATTGGCACACAACAATCCGCCCACACCCACACCCACGCTCTCTCTCTCTCTCTCTCTCACACACAACTACGTGTTGCACACATACACAGATTTAAATATTACTTTTCAAATCTATGTAAATATCTAGATATAGCTATGCATTGTCTCAGTCTGTCTCTTGAAGATTAAAATATATACATTGCATCTTCTGTCGAAGGGCAAGAGCCACACACACCCCAACAAAAAAAAAGAGAGGGTGCCTTCCGATACCTGCAGACTCGGGTGAAAATCATGCTTCACTTCAGTCTTCCATTTAACTAAAGTTCAAAAGTTGTCTATCTTTTTGAATTCAAGTGCAAAAGTGGGTCTCTCTACCTAAAACAGGTGGACACGAAGTGACAGAGATAGGACAGGTGGACACGAAGTGACAGAGATAGGACAGGTGGACACGAAGTGACAGAGATAGGACAGGTGGACACGAAGTGACAGAGATAGGACAGGTGGACACGAACTGGCTGAAATGATAACTAGACATCAATACATTGAAATAAAACAAGATCTGAACAATCTATACATGAGGGCTTGCTAAAAATATCTTTGTGCAATCCTACCCCCCCCCCAAAAAAAAAAAAAAAAAATTAAGAAAATTTGATCAGATTTTGGGAAGTTGAGTAATCAAAGATATTTTCACCACCTCCCCATATTTTGAATTCAAGTGCAAAACGGATCTCTGTCTACCTTTAAGTCCAAAGGGCGGTCTGTTTTACACTTGCGTCAAAAGTTAGACAGAGGTTCGTTTTTTGAAGTAATAAAAAAACTGTTAAGTTAAAAATAAATCTTATAAATTTTTTATAAATTTCTGTTTATGTTTCAAATACAAAAATCGAGCAGATATGGGCTTTTGAGAAAAATATTTGAATGAGGAAGAGTACTCTCCTTAAAAGAGAAATTCGAACCTTGCTAGACTGTGGTGCTTTCTGAGGCTGACCGGTAGAGCACTCCGGACCAAACGGTGGTTCCTACTACAAAGGGGGATGCAGGTTCAATCCCGAGCAGAAACCACATTTTCCTTGTCAGGTTTTCTCAAATGTGCGGGCTGATAGAGGTAGCATACACTGTTTAAAATAAAAATGGGGTGTCTATTTCCGATACAATTATCCACTATAATGGCGTTTGAAGTTGTATAAGAGTGGATTGAATGATTACCCAAAAGATAATCTACGATACTCTAGAGTCAGGATGAAGCTGAATATAACATCAATCATCTAAGTGACATATGGCATCTGCACATATATATTTTAACAGAGATTTTGTATGTATACTTAAATACTTTCATATGTGTGGTTAGGATAAATACGGACATTTGCGTATAAGTACGTCTCTGTGCGGATAGCATAACGGTTATCAGGGGAAAAAGGGAAATTGGTGTGCTGAGTTGAATCCAGACCAAATCTGTTTTGTTCAAGTTACACTATTGCTCTGGGAAAAGGCAATAACAAGTGTAATGGCATGGAGAGGTAGAAACTGGATGAGATAATACAGGTGGACACAAAGTAACAGAGGATAATATAGGCGGACACGGACAGGCCGAGAGAAGACGGGCGGACACGGACAGGCCGAGATAAGACGAGCGGACACGGACAGGCCGAGATAAGACGAGCGGACACGGACAGGCCGAGATAAGACGAGCGGACACGGACAGGCCGAGATAAGACGGGCGGACGCGAACTGGCCGAGATAAGACCGGTGGACACGGACAGGCCGAGATAAGACCGGTGGACACGGACAGGCCGAGATAAGACGGGCGGACACCGACAGGCCGAGATAAGACGGGCGGACACGAACTGGCCGAAATAAAACTGATGGTCACGGACTGCAGAGATAAGACTGGCGGACGCGGATAGGCATAGGTAAGACAGGCGGACACGGACTGTCAGAGTTAATACAAGCAGACGATAACTGGCCGAGATAAACAAATGTGAACACCTTGAAATGGCATGATCTGAACATAGGTGTTTGTCAAAAGAACCTCTGCTTCATCCCAGAAAAAAATGAAGTGATAAAAGAAAAGATGATCCAAAAACATTTCAGCACCTCCCAATGATGGTCAATGATAAAGAATAATATAAATACAAAATTTACTCTTTCAGATGTATCCAAATAACAGAAAACTTTCAATTTGAGAGAATCTAGTCTAAATCATTCTTGGCATTCTTTAAAATCTGCTCATGCGTTCAACGCTATAGGTAAGCACATTTCCTAAGTAGCGATACTGCTAAGAAGGAAATAGTTTTAATTTAGTAAATCTATGCGGTTTGTGGAGTTGAATGAAGCTTCTTACATATTTGACCTAGATTACAACAGTGGCAGATCAAATGAGGCCATTGCTAAATAATGTTTATAGCTATGATCACAGATAATAACCGCTGTTAAAATACGCAGCAACTTTCTTTTTTCTTTTTTTTTTTTTTAATGCAAACGAAAACAGCATAAAAAGTAAGGAGAATAAAAAGAGGACCCCTAAATATTCAGCAAAGCAAATATAAAAGATATTTTTTTTTTAGACAATATGAACAATTTCAAGCCCCGTTTCATTTCGTCATTGTTTTGCTCTTTTCTATCATAACATTCGGATACTTGTACGCTTATGATAATTGAAATACTTGAAATTATTGTGTTTTTTTTTTATTTCCTGGTCGGGTGTGCGGGTGGTGTCATGGTTAGCGGCTTTGAACAAGAACTCAGTGAACCAGGCTAGTTATATTCACTTTCGCGCAAATGCCATTGGGAAAGATATGAAATGAATCCATCTCCGCTTCCTCGCCCCCCCCCCCGCTAGGGTTTAAATAGCAGGAATACCAAGTGCTGTAAGATTAGATGTAAGGATGGTATGGCTTACAAGCACATCACATTGAAACACCGGTTACCATATGATTATTGAAGTTAAGCAAAGTTGAGCCATCTGGAACTACTCACCCTGACACTTGAACTCTTATGCGATCTAGATGCCTACCATTGGTCAAATAATAAATTTGCATAAACTACCAATTTCTTTATTAATGAGTGTGAAGTATGGCTTAGATTTTTACTTTTGGCACAGAATACACATGACTCTGAAGTTTAGCTCTTTCTTTTTTCTTGTCACTGATGTTAAGCAATGTCAAGCCTGATCAGTACCTAGATGGGTGACTTCTTGAGAATACCAGATATTGTAAGCTTGGATGTGCGGGTGGCGTAATGGATAATGGCTTGGAATTGTTAATCAAAGAACTGAGATGGGTTTGTTATATTCTCTTACGCATGAATACCCTTGTAAAAAGTATGAATCCACCTATTCTACCCCCCCCCAGCTATGGATCAATTAGTAAGATTTATATCACTTGATCAGCTGTAGAAAACAAACAATCAATCAATGAAATACTGATTAGCTCTACAGACATGTATTTCAGATTTATGTACATTCTCGGGAATATAAATGTATAGAGACTACCATGGTCACAAAGTGAGGGACCAGTTTATATATTGATTGTAATATAGAATTGGTATCCCACTTTATACCCACATTATAATTTCTAGTTTGTCTATCCAATTCTGCTTTGGGTATGAATCCCCCTCTTCTCCCCTAGCTATGGGTTAGTTAGTAAGATTTGTATCACTAAACCATTATTATCTAAAAAAAAAAAAAAAAAACTTTAAATTTAAAAAAAAATATTTTCTGGCTTTAAATAATCTGCAAAGGGTTGATAAGTCATAAAAAACGAATCAATCAGATCAATACAAAATCTTCCACACACACACACACACACACACAAAAGAATTCTTACAATACAAAAAAATATTTTCTGGCTTTAAATAATTTGCAAAGGGTTGGTGAGCTGTAGAAAACAAATCATTCAAACCATTAAATAAACTCTTATTTAAGTAGTGTGGGATCAGAAACAAAATAGCTTCAGACAAGATTTGAACAGAGTACCTGCCTGACAGGGACAATACCTTTATCAATTTGGCCATAGCGATCAACAACCAGCAAAGCAAAATTAAATAGACTTATAGATCCAAGTTCCTTTTTTTTAATCCCTATGACTTTCTTTCTACCAGATTGTAACAGTAACAGATGAAATAATCCTGTTTCAGTTTATTGGATAAGAAACCAGTCAAAAGTGAATAGCAGAAAAAGTTTTATCAAAGTCCCTTTACCTCTGTAAAACTTTTGTATAAATAACATTTACAGCAAGACATCCATTTTATAAAGTTCATTTTATCATTGTACTAAGTCAACTTGAATTTTCAACTCCAGCTACATAGAGCTGACCATATGAGAAACATTTGAGCGATTTTCTAATGCTCACATTAATAATAACAATAAAAACTGATTCAGCATATTTTTTCCCTTGTTTAAATAATTCAGTACAGTTTTTTTTGTTTTTTTAAATCTAATTAAATAGATTATTCTGACTTATTTATATGAAAAAAAAATTTTGGCATCGTTGAAATAATTTGTAGTAACATGAAATGGCAGATGATAACAATGGTTATTATGAATGTAACAGAAAATATGATCGAAACTAACGTTGCTGGGCCTACCTAGTGTTTCAGCATCAGTCGCTTTCCCATCACTGTAATGTAGTGTCCCGTTTGGATGAACTCTCTACTATGGTACCTAGACTTTATGAATTTAAGCACAGTACTAGATTGACAGCAAGATCTCATCAATTTGCAGTTGAATTAGCCAGATGTAATTATAAGTTCTGTGCTAATAGTTTTTTTTCTTGCACTTCTCGCTTGTGGAACTCTTTTCTGGTTTCTTGCTTTCCAGCCAAAAATTTAAATGCAATGTCAATGGTTATCCATTGTCTTCTTGATTACTCTTCTATTCACTTATGTGCAATTATCCTTGGGAAAGGTATGAAACTACCTCTTCTCCCCCAGTCATGGGTTAATTAGTTGTTATCTATTGTCTTTCTGATTACTCTTTTATTGTTCTTGCTTCTTAAAGTTTCTCTTTTTCCTTATTCTTTTATACACTGTAACCCCATGTGTCTTAGTGGCTTTACTGCCTTGCATGGAGTGAAAGGATAAAAACAGTACATCTTATATTATTAGGCTACAGACCAATTTACTACTGAATTAAGTGAGTTGACAAGAAAGAAAATTATGTTGAAAAACATTTATGTAAAAAATAAATGTTTATTCATTAAGTTATACAAACTTATTGATATACCTGCATATATTCAAGGCTTACAGTCACATCACATTGGAACACCAGTTCCCGTATGATCACCTAAGTTAAGCAGTGTTGAATCTGGTCAGTACCTAGATGGGTAACCACTTGGGAATACCAGGTGCTGTAAGTTTGAATATGTAGGTGGTATAATGGATAAATGCTTGGAAATGTTAATCAGAGAGCCAAGTTCCAATTCACGTTGGGTTCATTATATTCACTTACGTGCAAATATTCTTGGGAAAGGTATGAATCCACCTCTTCTCCCCTCAACTATGGGTTAATTAATTGTTATCTACTGTCTTCTTGATTACACTTCTATTGTTCTTGTGCCTTAAAGTTTCTTTTTCATACTTATTCTTTAACACCCAGTAACCCCTTGTGTCTTAGTGGCTTTACTGACATCCATGGGGTGAAATGATTAAAAAAAAATTCTATAAAAATTTTAATATTTAATTATTTATATGCACTTCAAGAAAAAAAATTTTTTAAAGATAATTATTTTTTTTTTTTTTTTTTTTTTAATTGTAAACACAGGTAATTTGATTTTAAAACATAAACACATGCAATTTGATTTTAAAATATAAAGATTGGTAATTTTAAAAAATGTAAACACAGGTAATTTTTTTTTTAAATTACCCATGTTTACATTATGTCAACATGGGTATTTTTAAAAAAAATGTAAACATAAGTAATTTTTAAAAAAATATAAACACTGGTAATTTTTCTAACTAGTCAATTGAATTTTGATAAGATAGGTGTAAATTCTATACAAACACAAATTTTAAAAATATTTCCTGACAAAATCATTGCAGATAAATGGCAATTTAAAAAAACTGAATTATAATTAAATAACAGATAAAATATTTATTAAAATATGCTTTTAAAAATTGTTATACAATTAATTAAGTACTATTGCTTATGTCGTAAGCACAACATAGTAACAGATAAAAAAAAAATCTGATATAAAAAGGATTGATTATATATGAGTTAATGATACAGGCTGTAATGTTCTACAGATGTAAGGTGGGGGGGACACAGACAAAATTCAGCCTTACGTGAATTTATAAAAGATTACATCCAGAAACATGTCTGTATAAATAAATCTAGAAGAAAAAAAAATGATTTTGTTACCTTTCTTCTTGAGGTAGATCCATTTAAGAGTCATAAAGACAAAAAACCAGTTGATCTCAGCATGTGTTGAAAGATTGAAAATGAATGTTAACTAAATTTTTTTACTAATTACAGTTTGTGGACAATTTTGTTTTTGCCTTTTTCCCCGCCACTCTCTTCATTTATTTCCTTTTAAAGCATATTAAGCTGGTGATACTGCTTAATACAGACTTCATCATGTAGTAGGCCGGATAATAAAATGAAGGAAAAAGAACACTGATGCTAATGATGATAATGGATTAGAGGTTGATTTTTATTTTTAGTCTTTTGTTGTAGGTTCAGGCAAGTGGCAAGGTAAGAGTTGCAGTGGAAACAAGGTTGGATTTCCCATCGGAATTATTATGCAATCTATTTTCAACAGGCAAGGTAATCAGGCATTGCCCTACATGAAACTGCCATTCATCAGTTTTTGCTTTCACATTCAATTTTAACAAATAGAATATAACAAAACAAAAAATGGGCTTTGAAAATTATACATGGCCCTATTTTATCAGTAATGCTTACATTAATTCCTGACCATGGACAATCCCTTTCTTCCTGATTTGCAATGTATTCCTATAGTAAAATCATTAGCAATGCATTTACATTATGCATAGAATAGCCCTATTCTATCAGTAATACTTGCATTCATTCCTGACCATGGACAATCCCTTTCTTCCTGATTTGCAATGTATTCCTATAGTAAAATCATTAGCAATGCATTTACATTATGCATAGAATAGCCCTATTCTATCAGTAATACTTGCATTCATTCCTGACCATGGACAATCCCTTTCTTCCTGATTTGCAATGTATTCCTATAGTAAAATCATTAGCAATGCATTTACATTATGCATAGAATAGCCCCTATTCTATCAGTAATACTTGCATTCATTCCTGACCATGGACAATCCCTTTCTTCCTGATTTGCAATGCATTCCTATAGTAAAATCATTAGCAATGCATTTACATTATGCATAGAATAGCCCTATTCTATCAGTAATGCTTGCATTCATTCCTGACCACTGACAATCCCTTTCTTCCTGATTTTCAATGCATTCCTATAGTAAAATCATTAACAATGCATTTCCATTATACATATAATAGCCCTATTCTATCAGTAATGCTTGCATTCATTCCTGACCACTGACAATCCCTTTCTTCCTGATTTTCAATGCATTCCTATAGTAAAAATCATTAGCAATGCATTTCCATTATACATATAATAGCCCTATTCTATCAGTAATGCTTGCATTCATTCCTGACCACTGACAATCCCTTTCTTCCTGATTTTCAATGCATTCCTATAGTAAAATCATTAACAATGCATTTCCATTATACATATAATAGCCCTATTCTATCAGTAATGCTTGCATTCATTCCTGACCACTGACAATCCCTTTCTTCCTGATTTTCAATGCATTCCTATAGTAAAATCATTAACAATGCATTTCCATTATACATATAATAGCCCTATTCTATCAGTAATGCTTGCATTCATTCCTGACCACTGACAATCCCTTTCTTCCTGATTTTCAATGCATTCCTATAGTAAAATCATTAACAATGCATTTCCATTATACATATAATAGCCCTATTCTATCAGTAATGCTTGCATTCATTCCTGACCACTGACAATCCCTTTCTTCCTGATTTTCAATGCATTCCTATAGTAAAATCATTAGCAATGCATTTACATTATACATATAATAGCCCTATTCTATCAGTAATGCTTGCATTCATTCCTGACCACTGACAATCCCTTTCTTCCTGATTTTCAATGCATTCCTATAGTAAAATCATTAACAATGCATTTCCATTATACATATAATAGCCCTATTCTATCAGTAATGCTTGCATTCATTCCTGACCACTGACAATCCCTTTCTTCCTGATTTTCAATGCATTCCTATAGTAAAATCATTAACAATGCATTTCCATTATACATATAATAGCCCTATTCTATCAGTAATGCTTGCATTCATTCCTGACCACTGACAATCCCTTTCTTCCTGATTTTCAATGCATTCCTATAGTAAAATCATTAACAATGCATTTCCATTATGCATATAATAGCCCTATTCTATCAGTAATGCTTGCATTCATTCCTGACCACTGACAATCCCTTTCTTCCTGATTTTCAATGCATTCCTATAGTAAAATCATTAACAATGCATTTCCATTATGCATATAATAGCCCTATTCTATCAGTAATGCTTGCATTCATTCCTGACCACTGACAATCCCTTTCTTCCTGATTTTCAATGCATTCCTATAGTAAAATCATTAACAATGCATTTCCATTATGCATATAATAGCCCTATTCTATCAGTAATGCTTGTATTCATTCCTGACCACTGACAATCCCTTTCTTCCTGATTTTCAATGCATTCCTATAGTAAAATCATTAACAATGCATTTCCATTATGCATATAATAGCCCTATTCTATCAGTAATGCTTGTATTCATTCCTGACCACTGACAATCCCTTTCTTCCTGATTTTCAATGCATTCCTATAGTAAAATCATTAACAATGCATTTCCATTATGCATATAATAGCCCTATTCTATCAGTAATGCCTTTTATTCATTCCTGACCACTGACAATCCCTTTCTTCCTGATTTTCAATGCATTCCTATAGTAAAATCATTAACAATGCATTTCCATTATGCATATAATAGCCCTATTCTATCAGTAATCATTCTTGCATTCATTCCTGACCACTGACAATCCCTTTCTTCCTTATTTTCATGCTTGCATTCCTATAGTAAAATCATTAACAATGCATTTCCATTACAACATATATGCATATATAGCCCTATTCTATCAGTAATGCTTTGCATTCATTCCTGACCACTGACAATCCCTTTCTTCCTTATTTTCAATGCATTCCTATAGTAAAATCATTAACAATGCATTTCCATTATGCATATAATAGCCCTATTCTATCAGTAATGCTTGTATTCATTCCTGACCACTGACAATCCCTTTTCTTCCTGATTTTCAATGCATTCCTATAGTAAAATCATTAACAATGCATTTCCATTATGCATATAATAGCCCTATTCTATCAGTAATGCTTGTATTCATTCCTGACCACTGACAATCCCTTTCTTCCTGATTTTCAATGCATTCCTATAGTAAAATCATTAACAATGCATTTCCATTATGCATATAATAGCCCTATTCTATCAGTAATGCTTGTATTCATTCCTGACCACTGACAATCCCTTTCTTCCTGATTTTCAATGCATTCCTATAGTAAAATCATTAACAATGCATTTCCATTATGCATATAATAGCCCTATTCTATCAGTAATGCTTGCATTCATTCCTGACCACTGACAATCCCTTTCTTCCTGATTTTCAATGCATTCCTATAGTAAAATCATTAACAATGCATTTCCATTATACATATAATAGCCCTATTCTATCAGTAATGCTTGCATTCATTCCTGACCACTGACAATCCCTTTCTTCCTGATTTTCAATGCATTCCTATAGTAAAATCATTAACAATGCATTTCCATTATATATAATAAATCTATTCTATCAGTAATGCTTGCATTCATTCCTGACCACTGACAATCCCTTTCTTCCTGATTTTCAATGCATTCCTATAGTAAAATCATTAACAATGCATTACATATAATAGCCCTATTCTATCAGTAATGCTTGCATTCATTCCTGACCACTGACAATCCCTTTCTTCCTGATTTTCAATGCATTCCTATAGTAAAATCATTAACAATGCATTTCCATTATACATATAATAGCCCTATTCTATCAGTAATGCTTGCATTCATTCCTGACCACTGACAATCCCTTTCTTCCTGATTTTCAATGCATTCCTATAGTAAAATCATTAACAATGCATTTCCATTATACATATAATAGCCCTATTCTATCAGTAATGCTTGCATTCATTCCTGACCACTGACAATCCCTTTCTTCCTGATTTTCAATGCATTCCTATA